TAGCCCTCATGGGCACAAAGGCAGCTTCTAAATGAGATTTGCTAGATTAATATGTTAGAAGAGTAAAGAAAAACAGCCGAAATCCTCTGCTTTCCAAAACAACTACCCTACACCTGTGAAGTGCAGGGGCTGCGAGGAAGCTGACGAGAATCAGGCAGCTCTGCTGTGCTCAGAGCCTTCGCCAAGAGGAGAGAGCAGCTGACAGGTCACGCCGTGGGCACCGAGGAGCCTCCGTGACAGGACGTACCTGCGCCGAGCCCTGGGCCAGCGCTCAGAGACCCCCAGCCAGCCACTCACCCTTGCCTTCCTGTCAGCCCTCCTTCCCGGGGAACAAGGACAGGGAATTCTCCTCCCACCTTCGCTCAGCCTCCAGGATCCGTTAGCAACAGGAACCAGAACCCAGAAACAGATGGAAAATAAACAAACAAACAAAAAGAGATGAGGGAGAGAGGTAGGAAAGATACACTTCTACCTTCCCATTTGCCAATTCAACCATCTAGGGCTTATCAGTTTACCAAAACAAAAGCTTGGGACGTAGCTTCCCAGCTGTATTAACTTAAAACTGTCAAGTAAAGGTGGACATTTTTTTCTCATAGGATTTTGAGACCTAGAGTGGAAACTACATAAATAAGATTCAGATAGATCAGACTGGAGGGGAGCTGGAGCCCGATCGGGGACTCTGATACACACCCAGAAATATTTTGTGACTACTCTCTTCTGAATAGACACCATCATGTCAGTTTTACTTCTGTGTGATCAAAGAAAGCTTGATGATCTGAGGAATGGCAGAAAGAATGACTGAAATAACTCATGAAATATATATATATATATATATATATACACACACTTCCTTGTAAATAAAACTGTTTAGGAGAGGAAAAAACAGTGACCTGTGTACTCCCACCTCCAGAAAAAAAAAAAAGGGAGAGGCACTGGATGGCACTATAGAAAGAGGAAAGGCAAATGTTAACTCAATCTTAAGTGACTGGAAGTTTGTCCAATAAAATAACACTGGTGCAACATGTTTACATTTCCACAGGGCATTCGTTTCAGTATGAACCATCACTGAGAAAAACAAATTAAAAAATTGCAAACAATAAATGTATAAGAGTTTCCAATTTACGCTGTGATAGACCACACAGCAGATAGATTTCTTCTGGAATCTCTGACAGAACTCACTCAAGATCCTGTGTCATTTAATAAAGCTGTCAATAGTGTACAGAAAGAGTAAAATAATTACTCTTACTGAAATGCGTGCAAATTCTGAWGGAATATTAAATAATGAGTAAGTCAGGTCATGAATGTGGAAGAACATGCTTCCCTGCTGCTACTGAACTGCTACTGAGACAAAGTGATGCCTTTCAACAGTGAGATGTGAAGCTACACATGTTGAAACTAAGCAGCCACCCTCAGATGTGGAGGAGTCTGTCCCAGGGAGAAGTGAGACAGACCTTCAGATTCACATCGATCAGCAACTACTAGCGAGCAGATGGGCCCGGAAGGATTCATGCAATCCAGGGATGTATTGGTGAGATGGAAGAATTTCTATCACCTCTAGTATCACTAGTATCTTGTCTTTACGCCAGCTTACCTTTCTGTTGTAAGGAAAGCTCATCCTACTTACTATGAAARAAGCCTACAGAAATCAGATAAACTATTTAAAAAGAAAAGGGAGCAAGYGAAGGCCTATACAGAACAGCCTCTAAAATTCTGATAGTTTGAAATCCTACAACTTTTAAAATCTCTATAAACTCTCTGCATTCAAACGAGATCAAACAAGAATGCTGCTTTTACTGGAATAAAAGTGAGRGTATGAAGAAAAGAAGTTAGGCTAGAAGCACTAAGCTTGAAGGAAAACCATATAGACTGCACTAATGGTGCTATGGAACAACACTGCACTCCTAGAAAGACTATGCTTCACATGAGTTTAATGCAAGAACTCAAAAAGTAATTTTTTTTGGAATTTCTAAATGATTTAAAGTCAACTTGCAATGTCAGAAAGTTGCTGGAATCACTAATTCCAGCACAGTATAGTGTAAGAAGATTAAAGACCCTGAACAGAACCAAATGAGAATAAAATAAAATAAAATAAAATAAAATAAAATAAAATAAAATAAAATAAAATAAAATAAAATAAAATAAAATAAAATAAAATAAAATAAAATAATTGAAGGAAAAATGAGATAGTACCTTAGTGAATTGGGTGTGTGAATCTTGCACCCTTAAACATTTTGCTGGAAACCAGAAGAAGATTCTAACAGGAAAACTCCAAAATGCAATAAAAATGAGACACTGAGATGCACAGAAAAAATACTTTATAAAGTACAGATTTCAACAACATCCAGTCGTTTGCCCATCATATTCTATTAGTAAAAAGCTTCAGGCAAGGACTAAAAGCTTCCAAAAGGGAAACTATATATTCATATTCTGCCAAATAGATAATGAGAAGAACTAAAAGGTTCTTTTCCTGCAATGACAGACTGAGGGACTAGGATATCAGCTTAGGTATGAATCAAACCCTCAAAAGGTAGAGTTTTTTGGACAAGCTAAAGTAGGTCGTGAACATACTTTAAAGTTTAAAGGTTAACCTAAATCTTATTGCCATAAYTAGGTAATTCTGAAGTGATTTGTATAGGGAGAGTTCTACAAGTGGGCATTTTTAACATCAGTTTAAAAAACAAGCAAGTAGAYAACTTCTAGTGAAAAAAAAAAGAGACAAAGAAGTTGGTTCTGTTAAAACAAAACACTGCAGAGTATCTATCCAGTGTTGTATATGTTAAGATGCTCAAAGGAATCGTCAAAATTTGACTATTTGACACTAACAAATCACATTCTTCAAAATGGTTATCTCACCAGTTGAACTCTTGCTCAGYAGCAGTTGAGAAAGAAGCATCACATTAAAACAGAATTTGGACTCACAGGTCACGTCAGCAGTGACCATGCACTATACTTACAATAATGGCAACTCAAATACTGATGACGCCATGAGAAATCTCTTATGAAGTAATTTTTTAAAAAGATTAAACTACAAGGTTAATTCTTCTTCTTTTTTTTTTCTTTTAATATAGAAAAAAAAAAGGGGGTAAGAAAGTACAACCAAAACCTTCTAGTCCTACAAGAGAATTCTCCAGATTTTAGATTATAAACAGTTTACTATGGGAAAAAAAGAGCCACAATTATCAAACATTACACTGGGAAATCCTCCAAATTAGTTCTTATGATGATACACAATCAAAAGACAACAAATAAATATYAGTTCTTGAGCCAGGAGACATGAAGAAGGAAGGGATGTATGGCTTCTTCAAAACATACCTAAAACAGACTTTTTGAAATGGTATCAACTTAATGACTCAAGTAGCAGATCAAAATGACAGTCATTTAACTCACCATTTAGATAGAAGATTTTAGTCTTCTCCCAGGATAGACAAACAAAATTTAGGAGAGGCAATTCCTCACCAGAGGAATTCAGAAGAGGATGCTCTGATCTCCTAATGCAGGTAATGCAATGCGGCCCAATGGTATGCTAAGCAAATCAAGGAGGCATGATTTTAGCCAGCCTATGAAGCCAAGCCACTTTAGAAAAAGTGTACTTTTCCCCAGCATAACTCTACATTCTGCTATTAGCAATTAGTTAATTGCTAATAGCCACCAAGCAGCCACCAAGTTCTGAAACAGCTGATGGATCCTCTACAGCATCCAGGGCATGGAAGTACAATGCACTAGCAGACAGAAGTGGTAATTTTCTGGCAACCTGACTTACCCTATTATATGAAGTGTTCTATAGGCACTTAACGTGCCTATAGATCTGTCATGCGGGCAAGTTCCTACACACAAGTTCCTACACACAGTTAATGACTGACTTGGAAAGGCATCCCAAATTCTAACCTGCCTGTAAGATAGCTTTATACGAAGAGCAAAACAGAAAGTAACTGTGTGTATTCGCATATACATGTACGTGCAGGTAACCACACAAGCAGCCTCTTCTGTCTTTCATTGGCACCAACGTTCCAAAGCCAAGCGTAGGCTCCTCAGATTCCCGCTGTCACAGTAAGTGACTTCCCAAGCTGCAGTCGGAGCTGAGCTGGGGCTCCCAACCAGGCGCTCAGGCCGCTCACCGAAGCATCCGCCCTGCTTTCTCATCACTTCTGCTCTGGAGCAGGGCTATTGCTTCAGCTTGACTTTTAAATACAGAGCTCCCTTCCCTCAGAGAGCAAAGATTTTATTGGACAGTTTGAATGCCTGCATTAATGCTGGCTCTTCATCTACCTATGGCAAGATACACACAGGCATCTTCACACCTTCCTTGGTCACACTTGTGGCAAGACGAGCAAGGCTCAGAAGTCACCAGAATAATTATCTTTTTTTTATTTCTCTCTCAATCATCAAAGTATGTAAAGTATCTAAAAAATTACTGTGTCTTGTATTTCTTTTCTGGTGCATTTTAAAGATGGGAACACTCCTGTCCAGTTCTGCTCCACTTGGCGGATGCCATCCTCCGCCAAAACTTGGGAGGAAAAGAAAACACGTCCTGTTTAACATCTCTTTCTGTTACTGTTGGTAGAAACAAGGCTGAGGGCACGAAGCACCCTGTCTTTGAACACCACTCTATGGCCGTTTGGGAAGGCCTATAAAAATCTGTACCAYATTTCAGACGAGGGAGCACACAGACCTCCCTGCTGGGACTCCCTTTTCCTTCTGCCACACAGAAAGGGCTCCCGGCCTGGCTCAGCCCTGGCACCGCAGTGCCAAGGCCCAGGCCTGGAGCGACTCATCCCTGCAGGCYGGTGCCCGGGAGCCGCCAGGCTTTGCAGCCAGACACCCTGCACGTGCACGGCTGGTGGGGGAGCAGCACGCTTTATTTTAGAGCCCAACTTCTTGGGCTCGCCGAGGGGGGAAGCAGCCTGGGAGCGCGCGGCTCCACGTGTGCGTGTGCGGTGATTTTGTACCGTGGGAGCGAGGCCGCCCGCAGGCCGCTGTCAGGGCAGGGCGCACTTACCCACCTGGGGAACTTGTCCTTGAGCTGCCGCAGGCTCTGTCTGGTGGGCTGCACCTGCGCCAGGAACTGCGCTATCTCATCGTACTGCGCCTTGCTCAGCTTCATGCCGCCGCCGGCCGCCACAAGCGGGCGGGCGGGCAGGGGGCAGGGGCGGCGCGGGGGCAGCAGCAGGAGCCGGCCCGGGCGCGGGTGCAGCAGGAGCAGGCCCGGGCCCGGGCGCGGGGCGCCGGCGCAGGCCGGCAGCGGCAGCCGCTTCCCGCCGCTCGCGCTCGGGGGCCGGGCCGGGGCGGAGCGGGGCGGGCCGAGCCGCCATCCCGCGCCGCTTGCGCAGCCGCCGCGGGCGCGGAAATGGCGCGGGTGCGGGGGCGCCGCGGGTGCGGGGGTACTGCTGGCCTCGCGGGGTCCCCTTTGCCCCGCAGCGGGACCCCCGGTCCTGCGGGAGCAGGGCGGCCGCGGGGCTTTGCCCGCGCCTGCGCAGTCCCCGTTGACCGTTAACGGTTCGCCATTAGCCGTTGGGCGTAAGCGTTGGCCGCGGGGTCCAGCGGGTAGGGTGCAGCCCAGAGGCGGGTCAGCGGCGGGGCTTGGGTCGTGCTGCAGCCCCGGGGCGGGGGGTGTCTGACCCTGAGCTCCTTTAAAGTCGGTTGTCCCAGTCCTTGTGCASCTGCTGGGGTTGGGCTCTTCTCCACTCTGCTTATGGTAAAGACTTTTGGGGTAGTGGGACCAAGGCTGCAGGCCTGACTGGCCTTAATTTTACCCACCTCTAACCATGGGCTTAGACACAAATGGTTTCTRCTGAATTTTGGAAAAACACAATGCAAATGTGTGTTTTTCTTGAGTGGGAGTTTAGTTAGGCCTCAGACTTCATCAGGTGATACTGTGTGCGTGTGCGTGTGTGCGTGTGCATGTGTGCGTGTGCGTGTGTGCGTGTGTGTGTTTCAAGACTTGGTTCCTGTGCTGGGTGTTTTAAGGATTTTTGGGAGGTAGGTGTTCCTATTGGTGAAAAGCTGTAAATAGGCCAGTGATCATGGAGAGAATTAGTTATGGATCTGACCAAAAAATATAAATATTTCCCTTCACTTTGTATATAATCATATGTATATAGACATATGTATAGACAATAATGTTGCTAAATCTACCTGTTTTGGAGTCTCTGCCTTGCAGCTCTACACACTGAAATCATGGAAGTTGCTAGAAACCTTGAGAAACTGATTTTTGTTTATATAGGTTTGGGGTTTTATTTACTGTCACTTTTGAAGGCTTTGAGTATCCCATTTTAAATGTCTTTCTACATCTTGGTCAAAGTCTTTCCAAAGYTTCTTTCCAGTCTATGAGAATTGGAACTGAAAGGCAAAGCTCATGAGCTGTGTGTGTATGTGCTAGCGAGCTCATATTTTTTAAGCAGAGCTTAATAAAAAGATAGACTTCAGTGCTTCCATGGAGTTTTTCAGCTATAAATGACTTTCTCCTTTTCTAGAAGTGGACCATATGCTCTATGTTAGCAAAACTTTGACCGTACAGTTCTACAACAATATTTGAATTATGAAATTCTACCTCTGTCAAATATGTGAAATATAGGAGTATTCCAGGTTTATCACCCATTAAAATCTGTGGATTATTATGCACATGGAAAATGTTCAGAGTTTGGTCTAGTTAGTTAATTTCTAGTTTGGTCTATGTTAATTAATGTACATCATATGCTGTGAAAATAGTGCTTTGGTGAAATGAGTGGTGTACACTATTTGGGTATCTAAGAACTGACTAGATGGTCTCATCTGTCTATGTGGTGAGTTTAGGGCCTTTTTCTGGTACTGAAAGAATACCAGTTTTCTATTTGTTCTGATAGTATCAAGAAGTAGTTGTAAAATTGAAAAAGATATAAATTACACCCAGTTTTTATCAAGCGTTATTTCCTGTCTCAATAGACTCATCTTTCTTGTATGCTTTGTTTTGTGTTTATGTTGGATTAACTAATATACATCAGCCATTGGAAAGTGTCTTTGTGTAGAGTAACATCAGTCGCTACAACTGCAAAATGAAAGTAGCAAAGCATTTTAGTTTTGCTATAAATGTTTTGAAGGTGCAGACCTCAACCCAAGGTACAGGACTAATTTCAAGAAGTTTGTTGCATAAAATAAAGATGGTGGGGGGTTGGGKTTTTTTTGTTTGTTTTTTTGCTGTTTTTTGGTGTTTTTTTTTCATCCATATTGGGTAAGCTGCTGAACATTAGTTGGTTTGCAATGTAAGTGAAGCCAAGTCAAGTTATAGATTTCATTCTTTACTTGGAGGCTGAAATATGAATATATGAAATTGATAAAAAAAAAAAAAGGCATTTAAATGAAACAGTATTATTTGGTAAAAAAATGCTTTATTTTCTTTAGCTCTGTGTATTAGAGCCCTTAATACTGGAAGATGTACATGTTTGGGAGAAATGGGGAAGTTGTTTTTTCCAATCTGATACCCGCTTTTAAGTCCCATGAGGATATATTTTTCTTGAGCTATGGAAAGGATCATTTTCCCCTATGTTTTCTAAGATTAGAATTAATTCTGAAATAGATTTCTTTTTTAATAATTACAAGTTTCTTCACTACCACTACTTCTTTAGAAGCAAATAAATCATGCTCTTAAAAATGACTTCTGTGCTGCTTTGTTGCAAGATAAGTTCCAGTGAAACTTATTTTTAAAACAATGATGCTTCTAGTTTTAACTTGTAGGTTTATCTCTGTTCTTCATCTTTGTTCAGTAGTAAATATTCTTAACACAGTGTCATTTTGTTAAAAAAAAATATTTACAATGGACAGAAGTGTGATAGTTTAAAAGAACTGCAGTATGAAGTTAACAGTTTGTGTATTAGTTATCTAGACTGTTGTCCTTGAAGGAGTCTAGATATCTAGACTCCTTGTCCTAGAACATGGATATACAGATTTCAGAATTATTTTAAAAAACAAGAAAATAAGTTTGCCTTGAGTGCAACCAAGGTGAATATTATCCTAGTGAGATAACAGCCTTCAGATGAGTTGCTGCTTTTCATCCGAAAGAAACAGTTAAGTTTAATTACAAGGGCTTGAATGCCTGAAAATGTAGATTTAAAAAAAAAAATGTTCAGTATGTTAATTGTATGAGCAACATTTAACACAAAGCTGTTAGTTAACACCAAACTATTCCAGTAGCATGCTCAAAAAATCCAAAGAAACAAGAAAAAAAGAGGTGCTCCTAGCAGAAATAGTTCCTTCGAGCTGCCCTCACAGCATTATCATATGCAACAAACTAGACCGTGTGAAACTGAGCTGTGGATGACTGTATAAGATGTTGTGGATGGTGAGAGTTTGCCTAAACACCATGAGCCAATGGGTGAAGTTCATGGAAGTAAAATACACAAAAAGCTTTTAAGTACCCTTAGCCCAGGAAATCTCAGATGAAAGTGCCTGGGTGCTCRGAGGATATTCTGAGGAGATCTCAGTATGAGCTTGCTCTGTTCACTCTTTCCTTGGCATCTGCCTTTCTCAGCTAGTCTTTTGCTTTGTGGATGGTTCCAATTCACATATAAGAAAAATATGAAGTTTCCTTTCAGGAATGAAAGTAAAGAAGAAGAAAGAAAGGGGAAGTATAATGACTGGAAATGATGAATGAGAAGGGTGGAAAAAAGAGAAAGAAAGACCATAAGCTATAGGGTCAAAAATATAAGGAAACACATGGCAGAGGACCTGCAGTAGTGACTATTATTTAGTGAAAGTAGTCTTGGTCACAGTTGACAAAGGATAAGGTAACAGACCTTTGATCTGCTTTTTGTGTTATATTATTTAATATTTTAGCTGGTATTTAGGAAGTATCCCTCATTACGACAGGGAGGTGAATGCATAGCATCATTTGTAGCCAAGTTCATAGTTAAAATGCTATTTATTACTTTCCACAGAGCTTAAAAAGACTATGTTTTGAGACTAGATAATTATAATATGGTTTTACATGGAATCAATTCATGCACAGACTTGATTTTTATGATTTGTACAGTTATCATCTTACTTTATCATGCACTTTATAGATAGAATCTCTCCATGTTGCTTCCTATATCAAAATCAATGCAAAGTCTCTAGGGACCCCATGTATTTTCCAGGAGGGGCAAATGAGCAGTTGTCTGCTGGTGAAGGTGCTTTTCTCCAACTTCTCTGCAAGAATAACAGGCAGCATCTGTAGGAAAGAGAGGAAGAAGCCTTTTCCGCGATGAAAGGAGACTTTTAATTTTTGGATCAGGTCTTGTTGAAGAGAGCAAGAGAGACTAGTGGGAGCAGGACTGTATGAAAGAGGTTTGTGGATACTAAAGAGCAAGGGAAAAAATTTCTCAGAGTGTTTCAGTCGGTAGAGAAATGAGCAAAGTATATCAAGAAGCTTTATTTTGTGTAGTGTTTTAGTTTAACTTCTAAACTTAAAGTAGTTGATTTTGAAATACTGATTAGAAACATATCATTGACTTCAAAAAAAGATTCTAGTAGAAATGTCAGGTTTGTGGGAGCAAAAAAAAATGGAAAGTCAGTGACCTGGTGGTAGATTCAGGACATAAGCTGCTAGCTAGTGAGGTCACACGTCTTGCTTGGGGAAGCTAGAAGGAAAATCAATATCCCCAGAATATGCTTGTAGATCTGAAATCTTGAGTCATACTTGCATTCTGCACGAATTTTAAGAACTGGCATGTTTACTTCTGGAAATGGGTGCTCATCTAAGAAAACAAACCTCTCTTCCAAGCAAATCTAATTTGTTCAGCTTCTTTTGGAGGCTTAAAATAAAATTGTGTTTGTGTGTGTGTGGACTTTGAGGCACTTATTCTTGGAGAGCTCTCAGCTGTCATTTCAACATCTCTGATTCATTTTACCATGTAGGCATCAGGTGCTTTAAGGTCCATTGAACCCCTTGCTTCTCTCAGGTGGTTCATCTGTCAACATGTTGAACTTGAGTCTTTTGGTACTCCTGCAAACACCATTCTGAAAAAAGATGGCATCAGACTTTTTAATTAAGTCTTATTCAAACAGCTGAACACCTGATTTAAAAACTTACTAGCAAAATAAATGCCAGTTTGATATTGAGTAGCTTTTTAAAGTTTTGCCCTGTGTCTTCTCCCTTAATAGACTATGTAGTTCAAATGCTCCTA